TACCAGGACAAGGTGTTCTGCTTCATCCATTTGAGTGTTCAGGAGTTTCTGGCTGCTCTTCATGTCCATCTGACCTTCATCAACTCTGGAGTCAATCTGCTGGAAGAACAACAGAAGAATGCTATATGGTCTAAATTTTTTGCAAAAAAGGAGTCAAGAGAAGTGGAATCTGCAGTGACATTTTTCTACCAGAAAGCTGTGGACAAGGCCTTACAGAGTCCAAATGGACACCTGGATTTGCTCCTCCGCTTCCTCCTGGGTCTTTCACTCCAAACCAATCAGACTCTTCTACAAGGTCTGCTGACACAGAAAGGAAGTAGCTCAAGTTCTCATCAGAAAACAGTTCAGTACATCAAGGAGAAGCTCAATGAGACTCTGTCTTTAGAGAAAAGCATCAATCTGTTCCACTGTCTGAATGAACTGAATGATCGTTCTCTAGTGCAGAAGATCCGACAGTACTTGAGTTCAGGAAGTCTCTCCACAGATAATCTTTCTCCTGCTCTGTGGTCAGCTCTTGTCTTCATCTTACTGTCATCAGAAAAAGATCTGGATGTGTTTGACCTGGAGAAATACTCAGCTTCAGAGGAGGCTCTTCTGAGGCTGCTTCCAGTGGTCAAAGCCTCCCACAAAGCTGTGTAAATATATTTGTGCTTTTATTTTTTCTATTCTACCTAATGTTGATTCTACTTACCGATAAGCTTCCATGTATAATTTAAAAAAACATGAACAGTGTAATGGTGAATGGACTGGTTCTTATATAGTGCTTTTCTACTATGTCTGAGCACTGGAAGCACTTCATAAAACTTGCCTCTTTCACCCATTCACACCGTTTTGCACATGCACTGTTTCTAAGCTCCTTTTCTTTAAATGCTTTTAATCTAACATACACATGCTTACTGGCGCAGACAGAGATCGAACTACCAACTTTCCGATAAGTAGGTGATCACCTGAGGCAAAGACGTGGACGGTGGGCTCTCATACAAGTTTAAGAATGTTAATATAAAAAACATTAATGTAAATGATTGTTAGCACTCAGAATCAAGTATATTTTGCTTTACAACAGTTGAAAATGCCAGTGTTTCTGAAGGATATATGGATGCAACTTTTATCAAAGTAGCACTAGTGCATTTTTCTCTCGGCTCTCAATGGAGGCGGTCTCACCTTTCTTCCTCTCCCTTATCTTTCCTGCTTTGCTTCTTATGTCTTTGTCTAGTCACGTCTAGCTCTAAACCCTCATAGAGTCTCTAAGTCTTGTTCTCTAAAACCTAAAGACGAATTATGGTTTTAATCAACTTTTCCCTTAATGCAATTGAAACCATGTTCTTGACGAGAAACCTGGGTTCGGAACCATGATAACAGTGTTCTTGCTGATCGGAGCTGGCGGACTGTGAGTATTCAGACTGTGCTCATTCAACACAACACGGATAATATCTTGGAGAAGCTCACGGCTCTTTAATGGGAAATTGAGAGACCTGGTGACCAGTGATGGACATTAGAC